TAAGTGTCTGGTAAATTCCCGGCGTGACACCACAAGCCTTCGGAGGGAAATGCCTGTTCAGGGTACTCAGGCAAAAATCCCTCCTACGAGTCACCCGTCCAAGGTACTCGGGCGAAATCTCTATTGCAGGAAAGCCTGTAGTGTCTACTACTTTTACCTAATGGTGCGAAACGCGAGACGGTGTAAAGTGAGGACTGACCTTATCGCTATGTCTGGAGACGGCTTACCTCGGGCTGATTGGTGATGCAACACTTAACACTTCTGGAAACTGGAAGGTCGCGTCGGGATCGGAATCGTACTGCTGCTGCTGGTGATCTTGATCAGTCTCAAGCGTCGGCTGGTACTGTCTATTATTCGCAATTTTTGCCCTATTTATAGTCGCAGTACAATATGGAATCGCCGCCTGGTGAGCTCGAACCAATTCCAGAGTTGTCCGACAAGTCCACTCGCACCCTTGTGCTGCCAACTAAAAAGGCAGCCGCCTCTAAAAACCCGGGAGCTTCTACCTCAAAAAAAAAACTACCACTTAGATCACCCTCGCCGACCATGGCGACGTATATTTGCCTGTTCACCGCGATCTGTGTTGGCGATGTGGATATCCGGGGCACCGACGAGAAACTTGCCGGGAACACCCTCGGAAATTCTGCTCGAGGAGCGCGTACTCAGCACTCCCCAAGATATTGAAGATATATCAAAAAACAAGCGAATCGATCTAGAAAGGCCATGGTTTTTACCACACCCCATACCTCCTGTGATATAAAAAGAGGAAGAAAACTATTAACTAAATACATAATCATCGCAGACTCTCCCAGGAATTAAACTATCTCCTCAAGAACAAATCTGCTAGGACCAACCATGAATAGGGTCTCTCTGTTGTTTCTGGTAAGATATTTCAATATCAATATCGATATCAAAAGAACCCTCTTTTTGTTGAACACTTCCTTAGCATTTTCACCGCCAGTCTTGATTTCAATCAATGATCAATTAAACCATCTCCTGAATCGGTCACACTGATCAAAGTGAAAAAGGAGCCACTTCTAAATATGTTAATAGTTTTTAATGAATTTTTTTTATCCTTTTATTTAAATATAGGTTTGTTCCAACACGTCAAAAATCGTTCAATGAATGGTTTGTACTCGAATTTTGAATTCTACTCACAAATGGTAGGCTTTATGCAGAATCGTGATGATACATTGTACGGTTTCCAGCGGTGTTGAAACAAAACTAATGAAGGAGCAAATTCACAAACCTGTAATTTTTTATTGAATAAGTTAACAAACCATGATAAAAATACCCTTTTCGATTTCATATGGAACTGGGTCTCTGCTGAGAAAACAAACATTTTTCTTTTTAATGCATTGAAAAAATTATATTAAACTAGTTAAGTGGCTCTCTTTTCGTGTTGATCAGTGTAGTTGAAGACATACTTGTCCATGACCCAGGATTCCACCAATCTTCACAGAAATGTGCCATCACTCCGAATCTTCAACTAGTAACTGCTATGCGAAGATCTTTGCAGGAAGAGATCGTGACGAAACTCGAAAAGGCTTCATCTCTACCAAATTCCTGGGAGCTTGGAATACCAAGCTTCACAACATCAGTCATTTTCTCTCACAACCACAACCCTCAATAGAATCCCACAGTTTCTACTAACAAAATATAGTTAGCCCAAGAACAAAAACGCAAGAACTCTTCAGACATGCCTTCAGTTGCAATTACAACTTTCTAGTCCTCGCTAAAACCTGGCTGAATTCCTCTTTGAACAATTCCGAATTATTGCCTCCCCTCTACACAATATTCTGAACCGATCGGGATTATGCATCAACCAACAAAGATCGAGGAGGGGGAGTTTTATTAGCACCACTTTCAGTCTTTGATTATACCGACTGAAAACTTTAATGAAAATAGATCAACTGTATCTGTCACGGTTGTGAGGTGGTAATCGGATCAGCATACATTCCTCCAAGTTCCCCTTTCTCAGGATTAACTGATATACCATTGAGTGTTATTAAATGTCCCAGATATCGAACACTCGGACGAACAAACACACATTTTGCCGCGCAACTTGAACTGTCTAAGCCTGTTGAAAAATTTTTGAAGATCACTAAGGTGCGTCTCAAAGTCAGACGACAAGACGGTCATATCATCCAGATAAGCCAAAATCGAAACCTCTGTTAGTCCACGGCGAAAAAACATCCATAAAACGCTGGAGAGTCACCGGAGCGTTTTTCAATCCGAATGGCATACGTGAATAGCGGAACCTTCCAAATGGAGTAGTGGAAGCAGTCTTTCAGCGGTCACACTCTCTGGTGATAACCAGATCGTAAGTCTTCAGTAGTCATGGAAGCGGTATGTTTTGTAGCATGTAGTAGATCGCCCATTTGCGGTAGAGGGTATGAATCAGAGATCAATTGTAGGGAGGTCATTTGTAACAGAATGTGAATCATTGAAAAACAAATATGCAAATGTCAGTTTTATCATATTCGGCGACATCAATCTTCCCAATGGTAACTTGATCACAGAGGATGATTTTCTGGTGTCGGAATCTTTTCACTCCTTGGCCGAGCAAACTCTGATAGTATGCTCTTTATGGAACTTCAGTCACTTACCAATGTGAAGAACAGCTAAAATAGATACCTGTATCTTATTTTTGCAACTGAATATTCTCTACCTGTGACCGAATCCAGTGCTGTGCAGGGTGGTTGATATACATACACTTTTGGAACTTAGTTTCTCATAAGAAGTAGACAAACAGTAGAAGCCGGAGATCCTTCTACTATCTACCTATTTAAACAAGCGAACTGAGAATTACTTCAACAGTATTGACTAGAGCAAGTTTGTACAGCATGGAATTTATCAGTATGTTCCCAAAAAAGCCATCGGAGTCGACATACATATATCCCAGTTGGTTCAACTCTGCGCTAAAAAAGTTAATTGCACATAAAAATCTACTCTATAAGAAGTATAGAAGATCAAGACGGCAAACGCACTATGAAGGTTATACTCTGAAGCCCGGATAGACGTGACATGTACTACCTGTTACATGTTACCAAAACTCAGCATTCAAAACTTCTGGTCATTTATAAGATATTTGAAGAGAGATGCAGGCTTGCCGAATCAGATGCACTTTAATAATATTCGTTCTTCGAACTCTCAACAGATTGCTGAACTCTTTGCCACACAAGAGTAGTTATTGTGACCACAAGAATGTTGAGATCAAAGAAAACTACTCAGTCTCTTCTAGAACATACTTCCCTGATCATCTCTTCACGGTCGAGGAAATACCGAGAAAAATTCTGGTTCTCGATGCATCAAAGAGTCGTGGACCCAGTGCTTCCTAAAGCTTGCACATCTCTAATAGATCCTCTGAAGCATATTTTGCAACTTTTTTTCGATACTGGCATTTTTTGGAAAATCTTAAAACTTTTTCCTATCCACAAATCAGGAGATAACACTGATGTGAATAATTATAGAGGCATATCTCTACTATCGCACATTCATAAAATATGGAGTACATTCTAACGGACGATGTGTGTTCCTGCTTTAGTATTAAACAGCACGGTTTCTGCAAGGGAAAATCCACTTCTACAAATCTGGCTCTCTATCCACATTTCCTAACGAAAGCTTAGGAATCAGGAAAACAGGTGGACGTGATCTTCACGGACATTTCAAAGGCCTTTGATAGTGTGTGTTATAAGCTTTTCTTTTTTCTTAAAATATATATTTTCGTAGGTACCTAACGGTGTATGCGGTGCAGTATCCCACGAGTTCATAGTTCCATCCGGGGTACCTCAGGGATCGCACATCGGACCGATTCGGTTTGTTCTTTTCATAAATGACGTCCTCCAATGTTTCCACAGTCACCCCTCGGCTAACTATACACTGACGACTTGAAGTTTTTCGTAATTGTGGACGGGCACTCTACCTCTCTCCAGCCGGATTTGGACAAGTTGGTTCTAGGTTTCATCAAACGAAACACCAGAGACATATATGATACGAAGTCAATCATCTACCCAGCCGCTTTCAGAAAGTGTGATCCGATTAATAGGTTCGATCGGATTAGTAATATCATCGTTCGTGAAATGATCAGAACTCGAGTACTCGCGTTCGGTAAGTGATCTTGTCGACTAGGTTTTCTCATATGTTTGTGATCTCGTTAACCCTGCTCTTGACGTGGGTAGAAAATTAGGCTGACAGCAGCTTAATGTTACACTTCTCAACACCATATTGACTAAACGATGGGCTAACGAAAAAAAGAATACAGATATTGGGGCTGCAATCTGTGCAAATCTATTGGTTTTCCATTGAATTTTCCCCTCTACTAAGAGCAGTAAACAGAAATATTTTTGAATGTCCAAGAAACCAAGTATTTACAAACTTCCACCTTGGATATGTGACTGTGAGAAAGATGTGACCTAAAGAATGTTTCAACCTGTTGCCTAACTTAATTGATTTTAATTTATGATAAAAAAAAAAAAACATTAACGTGCATACAAAAATCTTTCACAACATGCTAAGAGCACTTTAATTCTATAAATTTGTAACGCTCGGCGACTTTAAATTCAAACCACCAAACTAACCAATTTAAAGTTTGTAATTCGTTACACAAAGATTCCATTAAATTGCGTCGTCTAGGCTTATCCGAGCGCTTTGAATCTTAGCCAAGAAGCTCTTTATTATTGAAAAAGAAAAAAGATTGAGAGCGTTTTCATTTTCCAAGGCATTGAATTTTCGTCGTCGCTTTGATTCGAGATTGTTATTAATCGCGGAACTTATGTGAAAAATAATTTAAGCTTAGATTTTCGTCTTTTATTAAAATTGCAATGAGGCCGTCAATAGGAACTTCAATGAAACGATAAATAGATTCAATTCTCAATTAAAATTCTCACTCAAAACACACAATCATATCGAAAAATTAAGCGAATAAATAAACTAGAGAAAAAAATAAACAAAAGCAAATACCCTATATCCTACATTGCATGCACTACCTCGAAGCGAACCTTGTGATAAGTGCCCGTCTCGTATTCTACGCCTCTGTCCCTCGTAGGGGTGATTCCTACGTTGATATCCAATACTTTGATGGCAGCAGGAAACAAGGAAGTAATACTGCAATTCGACCTTCTGTCGTAGTTTCGGAGGGTGTAGGTGTCGTCGACTTGCAGGAGCACGTTGCAAGCTAAAACAAGAAATTTGTTTTCATAAAATGGTCAGTTATGTGTTCACACTCTCATTCTTTGGCTCTTAACTAAGCCAACTGACATAGAAATATTACTTTGGACCTTTTTTTTTATATAGAAATCGTCTAAAACCCGTACACATTTTATCAAATTTCAAAGTTTTTTCGAGCACTCAAATAAAAATCCTTTTAAAATTCCTCCTCAGTAGTTCCACCACTTTGTCTCAAATGACTTTACATTACTTATTCTAGAAAAGTTCCAGCCCCGCAGGTGTCATAGATTCAATTTCATGTAAATTCGAATGGCCCAAAGTTTACAAATCACCTTTCAGCTGTTTCTTGATTCAACAGCTTGTACAACATAGCTGTTTCAAGTTAAAATTATTTACTCAACTAGAATTACTAATAGCATTCAGGTTTGTTGCAACTTTTCCTGTTTACTTACGGCTCGGGTTTCTGATGAGTCGCACCGAAAAACTGAAACTCGCACCCCTCGCCGGCATGCGATATTGTATGAGGGCGACGTTTTGGGAACTAACAAAAGTTTGTTTTATTTTTCTTTTGCCGCAGAACTCGTTGAATCTCGATTTCAGCGCCTTCGGGTGGTCTTCAGGACTTGGAAAAACTTCACCATTCAATTCCCAACCGTCAACAACCTATAAACGAATAATTGAGTTTTAATCAAAGAATATTTTCCCTGAAGGTAAAAACACATTACAAGTTGGGAGTCGTAAGTCTATAAGTTATGAATATCAACAGGTAAAATTTCCAAGGAGTTTCGTATTTTAAATTACTTTTCCATTGAAATGCACCCCACTTAAATAAATTGTATATCTAAACTTCAAATTGTTTCTTTTATATCAAACGACAATTCATTTCCTATTACATCAAGTTTCAAGCTTGAACTTTTATTTGCCCCAAAAGGACTTTGGTGAATGGCGTAATTCAAATAAAAATGTTCAATTTTATTTTTGCAACAAGGCAATCCTTTTTAAAAGATTACGGAACATTCATGCTACCCACTGCACCAATCGACAATATACAAGTTGAATTAAAGTAATGCTTTCACCATTATTTTCTCTGGCAACAGCATCTTTGAGTAAATACACATTACGTTAAAGCATATTATCATCCCTTGCGATGTTTCGCTCAACTTTAAATTTTTATAATAAAACCTTGAATAAATGAATATTTTCCACAATCATATAGATGCATCTTGGATACTTATTTCATATCGAAAATTGGTTATTTTTGAAAGCAAGCACAGGATATTCAATGTTGACAGATTCCATATTTCCTTGGCGTTTGATTTATTTATTTCTTGAAATTCATTTGTGTATTTGACAACTATTTTTACTCCATTCAGGAATTTAGATGAATAGAACTTACTTTAGAGGTGATTTCAAAAGAGTGTGTTTTCTAAAGAATATTGTCACCTCCGCCTGTTTTACAGATGTGGCATTGAGGGGATTGATAAAGAGAAACTTGCGCAAGTATTAGTATGTAAGAATCTTAGATATGCTTACAAAAAAAAATCCAGGTGCTTTAGAGCCGGTGATCTTGGAGGAAAAAGTATTATCACCAAACCTACTACACACAAAAACTGAATCCACTTACCGCAACAAGTCCACCATTTTCGCAAGCGACATCGATAAAATTGAATCTTATTTCAATTTGTTGGTCTGATTCTCCAAAAATGTAAATTCCGCACGCCCTACCGTCCGGCTGTAATTTCGCTTTGTAATAGTATTCTCCTTCGTCAGACGCCATATGCATACATTCTACAAAATAAAATATTATATAACTATTTGTTGCCGAATACGAAACCTTCTACTACACAATTAACTATTCAAAAAGGCAACGTGATTTGACCCTTGTGCGGCTCAGACTTATTTAAATAATTCTCGCCTGGATTTTTCTATATTGTGTATGTTAACGTGACCAAGTTTTAACAAGCTTGGAAACTTTTTAGCGCTAAAATTTTGCATATAGATAGTAGATCAAACACAAATATGCTAACTAGCAATCTTTTGTGTTGTTTGGGTGAGAAAAAAAAAAACTTTTATAACAAAACAAAGTTACCTTCAATATGATGTTCAGGATCTCGTTTCAGTCTTGCAGGTGACGACAGCATGTCGCCGTCGATTTCCTGATTTAAGCGAAGTTTTGAAGATGGCCTGAAGCTAAACTGAGAACAAAAGAGAAATTGTCTTTGTGGTTTAAAGATAATGGGTTTGTGCTAACAATAAGCTCTCATATTGGCCAATGTAGTTTTTTTTGTTTAATTGATTTCTTATTATTTTTGTATCGAACCAGTTGTAACAAATTTAAGGATTTAGAACATAAAACTAACTAATATCATACCACTCATTTACTTATTTCAGTTATTGATGATATTGTTTGCGTTTGGTTTCACATCCATTTATCATTTTTGTCCAAAGTTCAAGTCTGGGTACGTTCATATAAGCAAATAATTTATTCTTAGGTCATTGAAACCGAAAATGTATGTTTTATCGAATATTTCGAGGCACAATATATCTTACATAATGATGACGGTCAGGAGTTCACGAATAAAGTTATTCAAGATTTATTAACTAATTGAAAATACATTAAAAAGAGTTCATAGCAAGCCGTGAGATTCACGAAGTCAAGATTCTGAAGGACTTAACAGGACATTGAAAAAGTACTTTGTAGATAGTGTTACAAAATTCATGATATTGATGAAGAACAGCAGGGCTTGTCATGAAGGAATCAGTAGAGGCGATATTCGGTACTAAAGCTAGAATGAACTGGAAACGACCTTTCATCGATGAAAAGCATTATCTAAAGAACTGCAAAAAATCAAAATGTGCGTTTGAGAGTAATCCATTGTAACAGAAAATTATGAAAAAGCAGACAAATATGAAGAAAGGTTTAAAGTAATGAATAGCTTTCTTGGAAAATTTTCGATTTGCTGTTCAAATTGACACAGAGGCAGCATTTTCATCTTTCAAATCCTAGGAAAAGATAATGTATATTTCTCGTTTTTCCACTAACTTATAATTTCTCAACTTCAAAACTTTGAACGGCAACTTTTGGTACAAATACTAAGTTTTCATCGGTACTGATTCAAAGTTTAAAAAATATTTATTCATTGAATATATTTTTTTACAATCAAAGTAATGAATACCATCCTCAACAATAATATTGACATCGTATAGCCGATTAAGCAATTATTTTTCTAGAACAAAATTGTATCAATAAATGTGTTTGACTATGGGGACTAACAATGTTTATATTGTCAACTGAGAATCCATTATCTATTTTATTATGTACTTGCTGTTGACATAAATTGCAACTATTGAGAGAACAGTGTTATGTTAGGGATTCAAATAAGAAAATTGCCATATGAAAGAAATTTAGTTTTTCCGGTGAATAAAGGAAGAATTTTCAGAGCCAGGTTGTTGCTGTTGAATATAATAATGTGTAGGATATGGAAATTCACTTAGTTTTACCACACATATTATTATTTTACCTGTGTTTGTAGTGACGTTAATGTATCTTATCTCAATTACTAATAGTTATTCGTCAGTTTTTTCCGTTGTTTCACATTTCACATTATACTAAGAAGAGGGAGAAGAGAGACAAGAAGAAAATTACATTGAAGAGATACAAGAAGAGAGACCTGTTCAAAAGACCAATAATATGCAAGGTTGCAATGGAAATTCAAGTAGTGATGAGAACGAAAAACCTATGCCATGGAATAATAGGACTATAACCAGGCATGGAAGAACTGTGAACAAACCCAAAATTCTTGATGAAATATACAGTGCCTATTAAGTCCCATGCCCCAACTGCCATAAAAATTCCCCAGAACCTTTCACCTTCGAGTTTTGACAGAACCTTTTTAAAATACATTGAAGGGACAAGCAAAAGTCATTCAGGTCGTGGACTTTCCACGATTAAGAGTTCGGGAAAATTCCTCAGGCACAATTTGCCGATTTTCTGAGTTGTTCAGTTTTCGCTCATAGATCTACGGTGGCTAATCCGTTATTTTAGCACCAAAGCGCCTTGCGCGGATTTCTTTGTGAGTCGAAAAAGAGCAACGTGATCAATTGTTTGTTCCTAAAGGCCAAAGTATTTTGGTAAGTGGTTTTTCTTATTCGTCTTCTCTGTGTTCCTCTATTGCCTTATAAAAGCATAGTTTTCTGGTAATTTTATGGTTAAATTCCGAATATTGGGGATACCTACTTATCGCTCCACGCCCAGTCTCATAACGTCCATTTGTTTCAGGCCTTTAGTCGCCACGCTTTAGTCCTTAACTTTGAGTAAAGAGTTAAACGTTAAGCTTACTGTATATTTCAAGTCGTACCTCCTATCTTCAGCCTCCGCTAGACAATTGGAAGCTTTAGTGACTTCTAGTTACTGAACTTCAGTGCCCAGGGCCAGTTGCTTCTTGTCGCGGCCCTGATCCAGTCCCAGGCTATCAGAAACACTGGAAGATATCAATCCAATCCTTCAGGTTCTCCTCAAGGGATTAGGGACTACTCAGGTTTCATAAGTGTGTTGTATTGTCTTAATCTGGAGTCTATCAAACCTTACCAACCCCTTGTTGGAGTAAATCACCACAACAACGCAGTTCTCGTTCTACTACAATATTTAATTACCCTTCAGATTAGGTGTTGTTATTTCAATTTTAATTAATTATCTATATTACCTTTATTATATGAAACTTGCCATTCAGGTTATGTATTGTTAGGTACTTCAATTTTAAGTATTTATCTATACCACCTATATTATTCCATAATATTAAAGGTTACGTATTGTTACTTCAACTTTTAATTAATGATCTATATCTCTCTAATATCCCATAAATACATGCTGCACTGAATACAGGAAAATACTTGTACACTGGGGTTAAATGGCCATTTACAAAGGTACTGCATTTAGTAAGCTTGTCTATTAGTTCATATTTCAGGTATTATTGCTGTTATACAATACTCTTCACTTTAAGGGACTCAAGTTGAGTTAATTTATTGTAAATATTATTTTTAGAACATAAGGTTAGGTACTCCTAGTCGATTTATTTTGTTCTTGTTCTGGTTCTAGTGTTAATAATTTTCAGTGTTCCAGGGCGTTCGGAAAACCCACCTCGAACCTGCTCTGGAGTCAAAACTGGTTCTGATTAAAAACCCGTATCTGATTGTAGCAAAGCGTTTTACTTCTGTCCTTCCTTCTTGTTTACTTTTATATTTCAGGTTTTGTTGTTATAGGTCCGTAGAAGTTTCCTACTTTCGTTCTATCGGTTGACTTCGTGTACTGCAGGGAAAAGCAGGTGGCGCTCTATATTTAGTTATTTAATTGATCCACACCCCTCTCCGCATTGGAAGCTAGTCGGCAACCCTTCACACGAAGTCCCGTTTCTAGATTTCAGCCACCAACCAACCCTCTCTTTCTATTTTTTTGTTTTAGTTACCCATTCACTGTCCCACTTCCTCAAATTTTATTATTCACTTTTCAATTGTGTTTTGCGGTTAACAAAGTGGATTTGTATGCTTTCATGAAAAGAATCCAATTCAAGAAAACAGTACTGTGTCGCATTCTCCTCAATGGAGGCAGAGTACATTTTTGCAGGACTGGCATTACAAGAACTTGTTAATCTTGAGGGTGTTCTTAGTCGCTTCACAGGTATATGTGAACCAGTGACTTTAAAATTAGGCAACTTGAGTGCCATATCTATAATAAAGAACCGTGACAATTCTAAGCGTAGCAAACATATAGATAATAAATATCATTTTATCAAAGATCTATATTTGGAAGGAGTTATACTACTTAAGTATGTTTGTTCTGTAGAAAAATGTGCAGATATGTTTACAAAATAAATAATCATAAGCAAAAAACTGTCGTCACTTATTTCTCCTCAAACTAATAGAAACCTGATCGTTAGTAAAGTTACTAGGCAGAAATGCTACCTATCCAAAGGGCAAAATAATGAGCTTCAAATTTCTCTTATATGTAAATAGAATAATTATAAATTATTAAATCCTCTAACAGCATTATTTCATTATTATATGAAACTTAAAGTTACAGGAATTAAATCCGACTTGGAGTATGTAGGTGTGTGTTTGTTCAATTCTTGTTGTTTTCTCGGGTTACATGTAGAAAGACTTTTATTGTATCAAATGATATCCTTGTTGCATAAAGATCCAATTTTAAGCGACAAAAGAGAAAATAAAAATAAGATACGAAAGGATGTGGAAAATTCTCTAATTAAATTGTTTCAGTATTGTAGGGAGGCAATATTAGTTTAGCCTCATAGGAATCGTGACAAAAATATAAAGATGGTTTTTGTTATTGAATAGCAATTATAGTAATTACTTGTTTATTAAGTTGGTGGAATAAAAATGTTATTATGAGATTTACAAAAAGCAATTTTACCATTCTGATGAGTCTCTTTTGAACTTTAAGATAAGAATTAAATTACTTGTTATATTGGAAAAATGTTGTCAAAAAAATCATAAAATATAAATCGACCAAGCAAGATTGAAAATTTTATGTTTTGAAAGTTTTTTTTCTGGAATGAATACGAGAATTCTGGGGTTCAGAGAGGAAGGCAAGAAAAGACAATTTCCTCTGTGGAAAGTTTCGTAAATGTATGTATATTATACGCAAGCATTATAAAAACAGGACACAGACGCAGAATCAGAAGAAAAAAAAACTATCAAAACAACTTGGGAGAAGGAGAAATGATTTATGAAAATATCTGTATGTGGTTAAAATGTGCAAGAGAAAAGACTCATATTTCAATATTAGGTCAGCAATAAGCCACTCTTAAAATTTCCAGACCTCTTATTCAAAGAATCTTATCAAAAGGTGCTTATTAGAACTTAATTTCAAGTGCCTGGAATAGACGAAGAAAATTGAAAATTGACAGAAAATATTTAAAGAATTTCATCTTTGAAAAATAAATCGGCTTTGCATGTAGAGGCTGCTGAAGTAGGCAATTATGCAAGGATGTTTCTGTGAGTAGCAGCCACTATAGCAACCTAAAAACAAGATTATGTCATGTCACTTATGTTATGTGTCATGCGAACAGTAATCGTTATTGTAGTGTATCCAATTTGTACGTAATATATTGGTCTATTAGAGCCTAATCTGTGTCAGCGTTTCCCAAACAACAACAGGTTATAGGCCCAGTAGCGTGTAAAG